GAGGGGGGGGAGGGGGAGGGAGGGAAGAGGCACGGCGACAACGACGGCAACGCACGACGGTGGGTCAGGCGGGACACGGTGGCACGCTCGGCATCCAGGGCCGCGGCCGCCGCGAGGGCTGCCGGCTCCGGCTCCGGCGCCAGGACCGGCGGCGGCGATGCCGGGCGCCCGGCCGCCGCGGCCAGGGCATGCTCCTGCTCCAGGCGCAGGGCCGAAAGGTCGGTCCGGGTGGAGGCCAGCTGCGCGCGCAGGGTGTCGGCTTCGCGCTCGGCGCGCAGGGCCTTCTCGCGGTAGTGGCGGACCTCCGTGCGCAGAGCCTGGATCTCGGCCTGCGTGACGATGGCATTGGCCTCGACGCGCGCGGCGGCGGCGGCGGTGCCGCCGGCGGCGGGGGCGCCGGCCCGCGGGCCGAGCCCGGGAGACGTCTCGCCCGCCGGCGACCCGGGGCTCCCAGGCGACCTGGCACTGTCCAATTGGTCGCGCAGATCGTCGATCTGCTGCTGGGCCGCCAGCAGCTGGGCCGCCTGGTTGCTGAGGTCGGGCGGGCGAGGGAGAGACAGAGAGAGAGAGAGAGAGCGAGAGGGAGCAGGGGGACGAAGGAGGAAAGGAGGCAAGGGCCGACGCGTCAGTCACCGGGGCACCGGGGGAGCAGCCACTTCCGGGGCAATCGGGCGAGGGATGGCGCACCGCTGCGACTCCAGCAGGGCCGCCTCCAGGCGCTGGCACTCCATCGAGTGCCCGAGGGCCTGGCTCTCGGCAGCGGAGCGCGCATGCTCGGCCAGCGCGGCCGAGCGCTCGGCGGCCACGGCACGCGCCTCGCTGGCGCGCGCGCTCTCCTCGGCCTGTGCAAGGGCCAGGCGCGCGGTGTCCAGCCGCCGTTGGAAGGAGAGGATCTGCTCGGCCTTGTCGGTGCGCTCGATTTGAAGCTGTCACATTGGCGGGGCATCCACCGGGAGAGGAGGGGCGAGAGAGGGAGGGGAGTCAGTGTCTGGCAGGTGACGCTGCAGGTGGGAGCATGCGCGCGATGCCGGTATCAAAGGGGAGGGGGGGGGG